AGTTTCTTTTTCTTGAAACATGGGTCACAATAAGGTAATGAGAATAATAAGTGAATAAGTAATTGCGACGGACCAGCCCAGACCGGGGCAGTTCAGTCCGATGGGAACAGGGTCGTCGAGAGGGTGGACAAGGAGTCGGCGAATGACAAACAGACACAAAGGAGCTTGATGAAAGTCTGAGTGTATTTTTGCAGCTGCAAGGTTTGAAATATATACAGCAAAGATTGCGAAAGTTCATCATCAGCGTGACTGTTCTGTAATTAGTCACCTTCTAAGATTTTCAGTAAAAGTAAAACAATTTTTCCAACCTTCATATATAGCCAAAACACATTTCTCTATCTTATCAACCTGGTACTAGTCAGCAAACTCCTGCTTTATGATACTATGGTTTCTACTACCAGTTTTTATTACGTACTCAGAACTCTGCTTAGTTTTGTGTTTTTCAGGTCAAAACGACCTTAAACCACCAAGTACTTTCAATATCAACTGTGCATGATATTTCATTTTTAACTATTTGATAACATTCCTTGCTTATTTGTAGTGGGCCACCGGGCTTCCAAGTCATTCTTTAACCCCTTAGATGCTAAAAAATCATTTCATGTTAGGGACTTATGAAGCCATCTTTCCCAGCTATTTTTCTAATCTTTAACTACAGTCTGTAGTTGCCTTTTAATGCTCTCTTGTTGATTTTTTTGTCAAAAGACACCAAGGTGGTCTTGATCTTGCCAATTTATCCATGAATTGTAATGAATACCAAGAAACCCTTCTTCTATCTGTATTTACTCATCTATGTCTCTCTTCTAGAAATCTGTTATTCCCTGGACTTTCCAGCATTAATTCTGCTTAACTACTTCTTGCTGCATCTAAAATTGCTTTCATTAATAGTGATGAATCTGGAGGCAAAGTTGCCTTTGGTGATTGAGTTCCTGAGAACTCCTCCTGCATACTAGGATAATAAAAAGATTTCAATAAAGGCAGTGACAGTGGTGTCAAGGACACAGGTGCTTTCTGGGCCCCTGAAAGCCCATGATACAGTGACAGTCAGAAAGATAATAGCAAGTAAAAGCATGCCAAGTACACTGCATGTTTTTTAGCACAGCCAATTCCAAGAGGCAACCTTCCTTGAAGTTCCAGCCTCAACCCACGGAGGATCTCACGCGGGCTTCATTGGAGATGGTGTGACACATATTGTAGAATTATCAATCGATTTACTTTCCAACTATTCTGCTGTGGCAGAAGACATACTTTACCTAATTTTGGGCACAGTATGTGACCTACACTTTGTAGTAAATAGTAGTACATCACCTTTTACTAATATACTTGTCATTTTTACAGAAGTTCCATATTCAAGACAGTCTGCGAGCATGAAGAACTTCAGGATAGAGAAACTTTCACTTGGATAACAAATGCCAATGTGAACATGAAAATTTCTAGTGACCTAACACCATGTGAAAGCAATGTGTGTGGAAAGGTTTCCATGTGTCAATCACCCTTCAATAACCATCATCCCTCTCACTCTCAGTACAAACCATGGGAGTATGAAGGAGTATGGAAACAAGCCCCAGAACTCTAACTCTCTCACAAGCTGTCAAAGACATATGAAAACTCACACTGTGAATGGACCTTCTGAGAAGAAGACATGCTTAAATTATATTGATTTCCAAAGTTTATTGGTAATAGATCAGGAAACACACGGTATAAAAAACCTCTATCAATACAAAGAATATAGAAAGACATCTGCTTATGGCAGTTCACTTTACACATCTGGAGGAACTCAAACTGTAAGAAAGCATTATCACTGTAATATATGTGGGAAACATCTGAGTTCTTCCACTTCTCTTCGAGGCCATGAAAGAATTCATAGTGGTGAAAAACCCTATGAATGTAAACAATGTGGTAAAGACTGTGGACAACACAGTTTCCTTCAAGTACATGAAAAAAGTCTTACTGGAGAGAAAGCCTATGCATGTAAAGAATGTGGTAAGGCTTTTACATTTTCTAGATACTTAGAGTTACATGGAAGAAGACATAGTGGAGAAAAAAACATATGAATGTAAAAAATGTGGTAAAGCCTTTAGATATGAGAGTCGTCTTCAAAGACATGAAAAAATGCATACCGGAGAAAAGCCATATGACTGTAAACAATGTGGTAAAGCCTTTAGATGTCACAGATCTCTTCAGTTACATGAAAAAATTCATACCGGAGAAAAACCATATGAATGTAAACAATGTGGGAAGGCCTTTACAGATCACAGCAATCTTCAAAGACATGAAAAAATTCATACCGGAGAAAAACCCTATGAATGTAGAGAATGTGGTAAGACCTTTAGATATGATAGTGATCTTAGAAGACATGAAAAAACACATACTGGAGAGAAACCCTACGCATGTAGAGAATGTGGTAAAGCTTTTACACGATACAATTATCTTCAAGTACATGAAGAAATTCATACTGATGAGAAACCATATGAATGTAAACAATGTGGTAAAGCCTTTACAAGATACAGTCACCTTCAAGTACATGGAAAAATTCATACCAGAGAAAAAACACATGAATGTAAAGAATGTGGTAAAGTCTTGAGATGTCACAGTCATCCTAAAATCCATGAAAGAACAATACTGGAGAGAAACCTTATGCATGTAAAGAATGTAGTAAAGCCTTTAGATGTAATAGTCATCTTCAAAGACATGAAAAAACTCATACTGGAGAGAAACCCTATGCATGTAAACAATGTGGGAAGGCCTTTAGATATAACAGTTACCTTCAGTTCCATGAAAAACTTCATACTGGAGAAAAAGCATATGAATGTAAACAATGTGGTAAAGCCTTCAGAAGTAGCAGTCACCTTTGTGTACGTGAAAAAATTCATACTGGAGAGAAACCCTATGCATGTAAACAATGTGGTAAAACCTTTATATGTAATAGCAATCTTCAAAGACATGAGAAAACACATACTGGAGAGAAACTCTACACATGTAAACAATGTGGTAAGGCTTTTACATCTTCTAGATCCTTACGGTTACTTGAGAGAAGACATACTGGAGAGAAGCTGTATGCATGCAGAGAATGTGGTAAATAAAGCTTTTACATGATACAGTTACCTTCAACTACATGCAAAAATTCACACGGGAGAGAAACCATACAAATGTAAACAATGTAGTAAAGCCTTTAAAAGATACAGTCATCTTCAAGTACATGAAAAAATTCATACTGGATCAAAACCATATGCATGTAAACAATGTGGTAAGGCATTTAGATGTAATGGTGATCTCCAAGGACGTGAGAAAACATATACTGGAGAAAAAACCTATGCATGTAAAGCATGTGATAAAGCCTTTATACACTAGAGTTACTTTCCAATACATGAAAAGCTTCATACTGGAGAACAACCACACAAATAAACAATGTGGTACCGCCTTCAGCTGTCACAGTTTTCTTCAGTTACATGAAAAAATTCATAGTGGAGAGAACCGCAATGAATGTAAACAATGTGGTAAAGACTTCAGATGTCACTGTGATGTTCAAAGACATGAGAAGTTCATAACAAAGCCCTGTGAATAGGAACAGTGTGGAAAAGCCTTTAGAAGTCACAGTCTTCTTTACATGAAGGAATTCATATTTTAGCAAACTTATGAATGCGAACAGGGTGGTAAAACCTTAGATGTCACAGTTACCTTCCTTTATGTGAAAATTCATGTTAGACCAAAGCCCAGTGAGTGAGAGCAATATAAGTCCTACATATTTATCTTAAATTACATGAAAAAATTCATATGAAGACAAACCCTGTCAATGCAAACATTGTGGGGGGTTTTGGGTTTTTGTTTGTTTGTTTGTTTTTCTGACTTTGTCCCTAGTGATTCTTGCAAGTTACCAAAACGGATCACTTTGAATACAAAATATCTTTGGGAGAGAAACAAGTTGGATTTTGGTGATCTTCCAGTAATTTAAATTCAAAAGTAGAAAAATGGAAAAGTGGAAACCTTTACATTTCATAGTTCCTTACAATTACAAGAGGAAATTAATCGTGGCAAAGAACTGTGTGAATGTGAACAATGCCTATAGTTGTTAAGATTTCTAAATTACATGGCAGAGCAGTTTCACACCACAGTGCTCTTTCAATGTCAAATAACTCATTGGAGACAATTCCTAGAAATGTAAAATCCAAGTGTTGTTAATGTTTTATATGAGCTCACTTCAATTATGGATGAGAACTCACTCTCAAACCTCTAAGAATAGACACAACTGGCAAGGATCCAGCTATCGCAGTACCCACAGCAACAGTATTGTGTGAACATTTTCTTCGGGATACCTGAACAAATGTCTACTCACCAGAGATAGGAAATTCATCACACAAAAACGAAATTCTACCAAAGTTCAATGCAAGGATTTGATGGGGGTTGCTTTCAGGAGCATGGACAATCACAGACAGCTGAATCACCAAAAAGCCCATCCAGCCTAAGTGATGACTCATGGAAACAACAATCTGAGATCTCTGCACAACTGGCAGGCAGCTTGGTTAGTTGGGGAATTTCTTCTTTTCACAATTGTTTCCTCCTTCTATAACCTTGTGGAGTGGTCGTGGGAGTCTTGGAAATTACTTTTCAGAACTTGTTTACTTCTTGAGTCTCCTGTCTGCCCTTGAGAAGGACTGCATCAGTTGGGAGGAAATTGATCCACAACAGTCCACCCCTTCCTCTGGCTCTTGATTGTTTTTGTAATCCTTTCAGATCCCTGAGGGTGGAGATTGTGTGGATATAAAAGTCCATCCATGGCTCACATTGGGCCAGTATGACAGAGCGATACAGGCTTTTTCTCAGGATCTTCATCACTGGTTCTGAGTCTTTGTGGTATCCCACCCAACTTGCATGATGGATTGCAGTTGACAATAGCAGTGACCTATTAGGTATGAACTGAAATGTTGAGAATGTGCATCTGTCACTGATAGACATAGGTACTATATGGTGTTTTTGCCATATGTGTGCTTATATGTGTGCTGTCATAACATTTAGATGCATGTTTCATTGTGCCATGAAAACCATATGATTGGCAACTAAATAAAGATGTCTGAGGAAGAAAACAATGTTTCCTGCCTTCATATATCTTCTTTCTGTGGAGAGTGCCCAATCCTGTCACTGCTGCTGTTGCTGCTGCAGTCCTTCAGTGGCAGACTGCAGCTCCACTGACCTTCCAACATGGACTAAATAGTAGTGACTTTAGGAATTTTTCAGATCTTCTCTGCCATACTGGCATTTCTGAGGCACCCAGCTGTGTGGACTGAGCAGCTTCTGGGTTGTCCGCCTCTCAACTCTGCATGTAGACATTGTGGACTATGTAGCACTGTGAGCTTTCATGGCACATGCACCTTCTGTTGCTTCTGTTCCTCTCCAGCATTCTGTATTGCATAGTTTCTGGTAACAGAGTGTGTTGTGGAGAAACAGAATTGAAGGATGGTGATCTTCCATTGGCTGAATTCTTCTGTAGTAGGCACAGTTCTCTGCATTTGATCTGGCGCACCACATATACTGCACCAGAGAAATCAATTTCTTAAAAAAAAACCAAAAATGTTTAAGTGTGTGGGATGGGGGGGCAATTATTATTACTAATTATTTTAGTGTTTTTGAAACACGGTCTCCCTATGGCCCCAGCTGGCCTGGAACTTGCTATATAGGCCAGGCTCACCTCGAACTCAGAGATCCCGCTGCCTCTGCCTCCCAAGTGCTGGGATTATAGGTGTCCACCACCACACTCGGCTCTAAGTGTCTGTTTTAAAGGGACTTAAATTTCAGACAAACTGGTTTAATATTATTCTTACAATAAAAATGTCTTCAGGACAGTTAACATGTTTTGTTTGTGTTTACATACACAATTTTTTAAGAAAAATAAATGTATTAAAACAAGCATGTGAATCAAATCAGAAAAATACATAACAAATATTCATTAAAAATTATTGAATTACAGACTTGGCATGCAATATATTAGCTGAAAACAATTGAAGAATTCATAAAGAATAGCTATTATATTTTCCACACAGTTTTAAATTATATGTGGCCTCAAAAATACAAGAAATAAAATTAACAGTCAAATAAAATATTTCAGAAAATATTTGCTTGTATTGGACAAAAGAACTGACACCTTAATGTTTACAAGTTTTACTAAAATAACTGAGTTATTGTGTGTGCTATCTCATTAACATACCAGGTATTCCACCTATCTATTTAGCATAACTTAAGCTGAACCTGCCTTCATAGGGGTAGTTCTATTACCAGGCAACTGACCAGTGAGATAGGAAAGGTGGGTCCTCCAATGGATAGACTAGGGATTTTATAGTCTTGACCAGTTAAACTTATGGGGCTTTTTGCTACTCTAAAATCCTCCCCCCAAAGAGAGGTAAACCTAAAATCTTTAGGGATTAGATACGAGCTCCCAAATACCTTTGACATTTTTGGCCTTTGGAATGGAGTATGTTGCTAAGAGGCCCAAGGACATTTTCACTTTTAGCCAAGAAACTTGGCAACTTTTCTTTGGGGTCTTTTTACACTAACTGCCTAGCCAATTCCTACCTCCTATTCTTATCACACCACCCTCTACAGAGGTTACCCAGCTTGTGGATGTAGTACCCCTTCAGTGGGTCTATCTAAAAGACTCCAAATTGCATAACTCTTAACTATAGGGAGAAAAGAATGTTCCTGACTGGTGAATAGGAGATGTGAAGGAGAAGTAAAGGCAAGAGTAATTAGCATTACAAGTTCTAGATGGAGAATCAGAAAAAAAGAATGGCAAATTTCAAATGTTCATATCAGTGCATTGGAATTTCTTCATGAGAGCTCCCAAAAGTATCCCTTTATTGGGTTCCACTTCATTTTTCTTTTGTCTGCCAAGGCTGGACTTGAGAATGATGGGCTCAGGATTTATTTTCAGGCACTTTGATATCTGTTGGAGTGGCTAGAATCAGTGTCAGTTCCCTTTCAAAGGCTTCTAGATAGGGGGCGAAAACAAATTTATCCATCGTTCTAGAACAATAGTGGGTTGTCTCCTTTAGCTACAGGTGGGCACTACAGTATTGGAGACCAAGATTTGAAGTCTTACATCTGCAAATTTATCCATCATTTTAGAATAATAGCTGGTTGTCTCCCTTAGCTACAGGTGGACACTACAGTATTGAAGACCAAATTTGAAGTCTTACATTTGAGCAGCACTTTCTGGTTAGGAACAAAATCATCAATGAGAAGTAATTGCCAAATAACCTTTTTATTGACTTAAGCCTAATGTCTGGGAAGTGGGAAGTGTAATCCCTTGAACTCTTAAAGAAATATACTGATCACTTTATGCCCCGGCCCACGGGGTCTGCAACTAGGTACCTGGATTGGGGAGTGGGGCTGAATTGAGGAGTGGGGATGTGGATGGGATGGGGCAAGAGACAAGAGAAATGGAGACAAGACAGGATTCTGATCAAGTCTCATTTATTGAAACACAAGCATGAGTTTAAATAGAGAATGAAAACAAGGGAGCAAGGAGTGGGTAATCACATCAGTCAGAACACAGAGGTCCTGATGTACTCTAACGGAGGAATCTACTGATTAACAGAGAACAGAGCTATTCACCTAAACTAGAGCAATGCCGCGGGCTGCTGGCCCCGGCTGTGAGCCAAGGTTTTGGGCCCAGGCTGCCTGCCAATGTTTTGAGCCAAGGCTGCAGGCAGAATGGAAAGTAGCCAGCTTAGGTCTGTCAGCAGTTTTAAGAAGCAGCTGAGACTCAGTCTACCAACATGCTGAGACGTCTCCCAACATGCTGAGACTCAGGCTCCCAACAACTTTAATCTTTGTTATTCTTTCCTTTTGGGTGTTTAAGACCATACAGTTGACCCAAATAAATCAATTTATTTACTCTAAGGTCATTGGAGGATCTGTTCCTCAGGGATCACATGGGCTTTGGAGGAGCCTGTGGCTCCTTTTTGCTTGACCATGGCTGGCTTCACTTGGAAGCATGGAGGAAATGTTTCCTCTGTGTTGACCCTCCTCTTTGTAGACTGGACACTTGGTTCAGGTCTATATGGTGGGGTCTTCATGGCCTCCCTGAACAAGAGGACAGGTGACTCACCATAGTTACAGGACATTTTGAGGGATGCTGCTCCATAGTCCCCTGAAACTTTTCATCGACCTTGGAGGGCAAGGAGCATAAAATGTCCTTTTAAGTCCTGCTGACCAGGTTAACAGCCTCAAAATATGGCTGCTAAACATCCAAGAAGGTTAGTTTCACCAGTCTAGTACTTTTAATTACCATGTGCTATGTAGATAAAGATTGGTCAAAAACAAAATGTTCTCAGATAAACCTTGATTAGACATATTTTCTTCCTTAAACTAGTTGACTATGACCTGAGAAATTTTAAGATTATGTGTATATTATTTTTGTCTCATCCTTTATATATCATAACAAACCCACACAGATTTTCATCACTTGCTTAGGCTTTCTCATTTTTTTCTATTGTGGAAAACATCTCCATTCCCTTATCCTTTTACCATCTTTTACATTCTCATTTTCTTTTTAATGATTATGAGACATAACATTAATACATTTTCCTTCTGTTGTGGGAATTCTTTTCCTTGGGATACTAAGTAGTGTCTAACTCTTCTAAGGTTCTAGTGTCAAACCAGTGTTTGATTAATGTTTTTCTGGGGAACCAATGAATTTACTTAGTTTACTTACAGAGATGACTGAGGAGTTGTTGAAATGTATGAGTGGCCTGAGGGTATGCACACTGGAAAGCCTTTAC